CTAGAAATATGGTCCTGAGGGACACATAGGAAATGAGTGCGTGTAATTAAAGGCATGAAAAGAGCATGTCCCATTAGTGAGAGCAGAGGAAGTGTCATGGCACAAATAGGTGAGAGCAGGTTGGAGAGGTAATACCATTATGTTGGGAACAAAGACTTTCAGTGCACCCGTGATTAACCATTATCACTAGCTAATCACAGGACTTGCTGATGTTTTGAGTACACAACAATCTACAGTTTTCACACATTTATTTAAAGCAACAAAAACAATGATGTTAAAAATGTATGCTGATGACGTGGAAGAGAAACAATTATCAGAGGTGGTCCCTGCTAGAACACAGTCTTGGAAATATCTAGTACTTCACAGTTAACAATGAAAAACCAACAAGTTCATTAAAATACTGTTATCTTAACGATGTTCAGTGAGGTCTCTAAAAACTAGGCAAACATCTAAACTTAGTGGCTGGCTACAAATCTACTCTATAGACTACTGTATATTAAAATAGAAATATTAAAATATAACCTAATTTTACATTTGAGTGCAACATGTTATATGGCATTAAAGAGTTACTGAAACTTACGAGGACATTATCACAGAGCTGAGTACACACTAAACACTTTGTAAACTGAGAATGAATGCACATTTCTAAGTGAGGGATTATGAAACAACTGCATAAGACAAACCAACTGTTTTAAATATCGATAGTGATTTTGTCCTCTCTTGTTTGTCCGCTGCCCACCCGTCTTTGACCCTCCAACAGAAACAACAGCACTATAAACCAGCGCTCCCCTAGTGACTTCTGTTGTGCTGAGCTTTCACACTGTCTGAAATAGGTGGTCGTACCCGTGGCGATGGCGCCAAACTGCTCAGACAGCAGCCACACCTCCCACATAAGTGTCAGTGCATTCATAACAATCATGACTACAATCCAGAACTCCTCCCCTATCAACGTGAGCCACGATGACAAGCTGTGACTGCCTGCAGACATCTTATCATTCAGGTAACTTGTTGCTGTGGCAACAAAAATAAGGTGGGCAATCACCATGGAGAGGATGAAGAAGAGGAAGAGGCGGTGGTTCCCCCGGCCAATGCACTGGTTCAGGAAAAGGCAGTGATGGTCATATTCTTTAATGCACACTTCACACAGCTTGCAGTGTTTTGTGTAGTCAGGCTGAAACAGCTGTGAGGAAAGCAAGCACAGGATGGGAAGGAGAGTAACAGAGAATTACTTTTGGAATAATGTAGCCCATGAACCAGAAAATGTACATTTTAACTTTACTGTTCAGAGAGCTAATACTTTGAATTACAATTTTTTATTTTCACTACTGGATGTCAATCACCATAACATCTACAGTGGATACTGTACATTATATGGCTGTAAGAGTGTAGTGGAAGGGAAGACCACATGAAACCATATGCCAAGTGTGAACCTTTCTATATCTAGACAGAAATACTGCTAAATAGATAGTTAGATAACTAAATATATAAGTAGATATAGGCATATAAAAAAAAAAACAAATGCAAAAAACAAACAAACAAAAAAACAAACAATAAAATAGTGATCTCTCGAGACACCTCACCTCACAGTATGGACAGAACCTGTGAGGGCTCTGGTTGCTCTCTACCAGGTCAGCGATACAGGAAAAACGAGGATCGGCATCTGCTCTGTCCAGTGTCCCGGGGTCCTGAGTCAGAACCTTACAGAACAGGCCAAGGACTAGGGAGAAGTGGACCATCGATACCTGGACTAGAGCACTGCTTGGCCACACACATTGAAAAAGTTAAGGATGAACCTTTGTTGTTTTTAATAAGCAATATCCTAGATTACATTTACCCTGATCTTCTGTGTATATTTAAGCAGACATTATTTGGGACGCATGAACGAGCTCACCACATTTCACTGCATTATGCTCATTTGATTTTATTCATTGAGTACATAAAAGTATGGTTTTAATGGTGGCATTGGAAGGAAGGGCAGAAAGAAACATAAAACACCGCAATTCATCCTCTGTCGATTGTGACTATTCAAAGGACTGTTCATCACTTTGTGGATACCTTGTCAGGAACCAAAGAGTTGGTCAAAGTACTGCTTGGCCTGAGGGTGGTCCCATAATCATTAGGAATCATCCTGCAGGGAGCCATGATTACTGCCACCAAATTTTATGGAAATCTGGCCTTTAGCTGAGATATTGATCTCCAAAACAATGGGGTGTAAGGACAACTGCTGGCAGGACCACAATGCCAGATGTTCCAGTAATCTACATGTGGATGAGATTTTAAATCAGCTATTTTCAATAAGGATAATAGGCATTATTTTTCCATAAAAGCACAGCAGGGTATGGAACACACCAGCTATCAGGGTTCCCAAGTAGATCGGGTTGGGTAACCTGGAATGAAGACAAGATGATATCTACAGTCATGTGAAAAAATTAGGACACCCTTTGAAAGCATGTGTATTTTGTAACATGTTTTAATATATGGTTATTTAATCTCAATTTTAACAATACAGAGAGATTAAAGTAATACAACTAAACAAGTAAAACTGAAGAAAAGTCTTTTCAAGATCTTCTGTAAATGTAATTCTACAAAAATGCCTATTCCAACTGAGGAAAAAGTTAGCACACCCTCACATGTATGCCCTCTTAAAATGGCTCAAATCACACACAGGTATATCACACCAGGTGCACATAATTAGTAGATCGTTACTCAGCATTTTGAATGAGGCTTGCCCCATCTAAACCTCAAACATTTAGTTTGGTGTGCTCCTGACTGTTGAAGTGAGAGTGAGCACCATGGTGAGAGCAAAAGAGCTGTCAGAGGCCTTCAGAAAAAACATTGTAGCAGCCTATGAGTCTGGTAAAGGATTTAAAAAGATCTCAAAAGATTTTGAAATCAGCCATTCCACTGTCCGGAAGATAGTCTACAAGTGGAGGGCTTTCAAAACAACTGCCAACATGCCCAGGTCTGGTCGCCCCAGCAAGTTCACACCAAGAGCAGACCGCAAGATGCTAAAAGAGGTCTCCAAAAACCCTAAAATGTCATCTCGAGACCTACAGCAGGCTCTGGCTACTGTTGATGTAGAAGTGCATGCCTCTACAATCAGAAAGAGACTGCACAAGTTTAACTTGCATGGGAGGCGTGCAAGGAGGAAACCTTTGCTCTCTAAGAGAAACATCAAGGCCAGACTGACATTTGCCAGAGAGAATGTTGACAAAGACCAGGACTTCTGGAATAATGTTCGTTGGACAGATGAGTCCAAAATTGAATTATTTGGACACCAGAGCAGAGGACATGTTTGGCATAAACCAAACACAGCATTCCAGGAAAAGAACCTCATACCAACTGTGAAGCATGGAGGTGGAAGTGTCATGGTTTGGGGCTGCTTTGCTGCAGCAGGACCTGGTCAGCTCACCATCATAGAATCCACCATGAATTCTACTGTGTATCAGAAGGTGCTTGAAGAACATGTGAGACCATCGGTTAGAAAATTAAAGCTGAAGCGGAACTGGACCATGCAACATGACAATGACCCAAAACATACTAGTAAATCAACCAAAGACTGGCTGAAAAAGAAGAAATGGAGAGTCCTGGAATGGCCGAGTCAAAGTCCAGACCTGAATCCCATTGAGATGCTGTGGGGTGACTTGAAAAGGGCTGTACATGCAAGAAACCCCTCAAACATCTCACAGCTGAAACAATTCTGCATTGAGGAGTGGGATAAAATTCCCTCAGACCGATGTCAGAGACTATTAGATGGCTACAAGAACCGTCTCACTGCAGTTATTTCAGCCAAAGGAGGTAACACTAGCTATTAGGGGCTAGGGTGTGCTAACTTTTTCCTCAGTTGGAATAGGCATTTTTGTAGAATTACATTTACAGAAGATCTTGAAAAGACTTTTCTTCAGTTTTACTTGTTTAGTTGTATTACTTTAATCTCTCTGTATTGTTAAAATTGAGATTAAATAACCATATATTAAAACATGTTACAAAATACACATGCTTTCAAAGGGTGTGCTAATTTTTTCACATGACTGTAAGCAAAGAGTTATCACAATCTATTGAACTACTGATACACATTTCACATTTTTGTCAAACCTTTGGTACGTGGTCATGCGGTGGTATTGTGTGAATATGCTTCTGGCCAGCCAGGGGAAGAGCAAGCCACAGATCAGCCCACCATAGCCTCCCAACATGGCTGCTATCAGCAGGATGGCAGCTCCACTCAGAGTTGGAAAAAACAGTGTCCAGTAGTACAACACTGGTGAGAAAAGACACATAACATAAATGTATTAGCACATTCAAGTACATTCAACATACAAACACACACAACACCTTTAATGCTACAATGCTATTGTTATAATCACTGTTCTTATTATAATAACCATCCTTCTTGTTTTTATTGCAAGACTAATGATGAAAAGACAATACATACAGCATATATACCGTATACAATAGTATTTACCATGAGACTCCCTCGGCATGTGGTGTATTGGCTCATTAATGTACCGACTCAGTAGTTTGGTGAGTTGCTGATGTCTAGAGAAAAAGACACATTATAGCATTGTACTTATCAGCATCAGGATCCCAAGAGAAACAGGTAACCTGAAAATGCAAAATGAGAAATGTGAAAATATTGCATACTGAAGGGTGTTGCAGTCACCGGTTTGTCAGGGTTTTTCTAGATATTTCTAGAGACAGCAGATTCACCTGAATGTTTTCCCCAGTTTACTGAGATCCAGTGGTGTGAGGCCACTGTGGTTCTTCTGATGGAGCATCCTGCATCCCGTTTTCTGCAGCAGTGACCAGCACACCTCCACCCCACCCCTCTCTGCTGCAACGTGAAGTGGTGTCGCTCCCTGCTGGTCAACTGCATCCGCAGTACATCTCTGAAACACAAAAGCATGGGCTGAGGTGCACAGCAGTCAGACAGTCACATCTGCACTGGGCCCTGGTTCAAAAAAGCATTATTTCCATGTACATGGGCAAAGATTAGCTTTGTGTTAAGGGACCCTGACTTAGGGCCACAGTTACATTTAAGTGGATGGATTATCCTGCTTCTGGTGCTATTGCAGTTGATAGATACTCTTCCAACAGCACCACATACAGTCACAAAATGACTACAGATCTTAATCCACACCTATTCCAAAAACAGGTTTTATTGCACAGCTTTTTATAGGCTTGCATAGCTGCCTTTTTGTGCTAAGATATTAAGCTGAGCTTATTTGACGAACATGGCTGTCTACAGTTTTATATGAGTGATTAATGACATGCCAGAGTGAGATGTGGTAAATGTGTGGACATAGGAAGTCAAATGTGAGAGGTAAGTGACCAAAACAAAAAGTTGAATCAAGTCACAGTACGCTGTTGCATGTGGCTTCACATGGTTTCACATGGTTTCACATGGTTTCAGCAGCAGCAGTTATTCTTGCACTGTGGCAACTTATTATTTCACTGTAAATGCACCATGCTGTAGTTGTATTTCTGAATTCAATCTTTGTCTATTTGATCTTTATTTTCATTTATGTTATTTTATTTCATTTAAACACTTCTCATGCTTTGTATTAATTGATTTTATTCTGTTTAGGTGCTTCTTGTTTTTAATGCTTTTTTTTGGCAAGTGTACACTAAATTGCCTCTGTGTCTGATATGTACTATGTAAATAAAGCTATGTTAATGTTACCATTCCAAACATTTTAAGTTTCAAAACGTTGAGAGGATGCCCAAACGTAAGCATACCAGTGAGTGAGAGAGTGAAAACTATATCATACCTGGTCTCTGAGCAAATACCGGACTACCTCTGTGTTGCCTGTGGACGCAGCCAGGTGAAGGGGTGTCACCTGGTACATGTCAGTGTCTGAGAATCGGAACATTCCTGTCTCCCATAAATAGTGCACTGCAACACTGGAAAAGATGACTGTCGGTTAGTGTGTACATAATACTTCACCTATGTCTGTGATTACATTGTTATAGAGATAAGTGATCTGTTGATTCTTTTCTCCACTCACATGTTGCCCCCAGTAACTGCATGATGCAACGATGTTTTCCCCTGCATGTCTATGAGGCGCAAATCAGCTCCATACTGCATCATTTGGTGTATGATATAGATGTTTCCTTGCCTAATGAAAGTCAGAAGTACCAACTGTTATTACAGAGGCTCAGGCACAGGACAAAAGGTGTAGCATTCATATCATGGCATTGTCACCTCGAGAATCCTGCTTAACACAGTGACCTAAATATTCAGCTGTCACTTACCTGCAGGCAAAATGGAAGGCTGTCTGTCCTGCATCACATGTCAGGTTAGGGTCAGCTCCATGACTAAGGAAAAGGTCAACCAAGGCACGGTTACCATGCAGGGCAGCGTAGTGAAGTGGGGTGAAACCGCCCCAGCCTAGATGGAGACAAACACATGCACATCACAGTTAGGTCTGAAGATGCTGACCTTCAAACTGATCTGCAGTCTCAGTGACTAACAATATAAGCTTGACACAGATGCGTGGTCTGTCAACCTGTTGATCATTTAAACCCTCTGGAGTTGGGGTTAGGGTTCCCTTCGGCACAATGTGACTTTGTGCTGTGTTGTCACAAGATCTGTCCATCTAGATCTGTGCCAGACCATCTCACCAAGGAGCTGCAGCAGGGTAAGGTTTCCCCTTGGCAAAATCACATTAGGAGACCCTGAATCATGACAGTTTTAAGTGGTGCTTTGAAAATAACATCATGTACAGTTGTACTTGTTCAATGCTATAATATTTGCACATTGTAACTTTGCCTGGGTATGATACAGATTTCAGATGATTAAATGTCCATTATGACATAGGTGTAACAGGTTAGTTCTGCTGATAAAATCAGTAGTTTTGAGGTTTTGTAATGAGCAACAGAGGGCACATTACTGACAGATCAAGGCTAAAAACTATGCTGCCAGGAACAGAGTAGCCTCGTTAATATGTTGTAAATAATAGACCAAGGCCAACAGTGGCACAAGATGTTCTTTATTGTTCTTTTTCTACCTTACCTTTTCGCTTGAGGACTGCTCGATCATTCTCAATGAAGTGTATACACTGTTCAATATTTCCTCTCTGTATACAGTCAAATATGTCTCCACCGCTAACTGAGCACACGGGCATCGGATGCATTATGACGGGTACGCAAAGGCAACCTGCTGTTATTTCCGCAGAGAAAAATAAACGGCAACGGAAACAAAATCAGCTCATCGGCCGAAGCGCTACAGCACCATCATAATAACAGGATAAAGTGAGAAGGGAGATCATGCAACAAAGTAACGAAGGCCTTTCATTGTGCTAAAATGATTGAGACAAACCACGCCCTGGACACTTCATTGGTTAGAGCCGGTCACATGACTCTGTGACGCATCTGCGTCAACAAAACGCATGGATCCTATAAATATCATAGCACTTCAAATCAATGTCGCCAACTTAGCCACTTTATCGGTAGGTTTCGTGATTTTAAGACCCCTTTACCGACAATTATTTTAAAAAAAGCGACTAGCAACAAACCTAGCGACTTTTTGGACAGAGCACTTTCTCTGGAGGAGAGTTATCATTACTTATGTTATGTTTGATTCAATTTCTTGATAATGTTGTAATTGCATGCATGTGGAGTATTAAGGACATGGTGACTTCCATCAAAATGGTAAATAGCAGCATAGTTTGTTGTCAGAAAATGTGGGCACCATATCCTCACAGGAGCCCACAGCTTGTGATTACTGAACAAGGGTGTAGATTTGGTCTCAACATTAAAATAAAAATTCCCCCCAAATTATGAAAAAAAAACATTTTTTTCTTACTATACTTGCATAGTGTAAAAGAATAGCATGTTTTCTGGAATTACCATTATCAGCTTTTGAAGATCAGTGTCATATCGCCGCCTGGACTCTATTTAAAAGCGTTTCCCCGCCCTTGGTGCTATGTAACAAGCGGCATGTCCGCATGGACAAATGGAACACAGCCTGATTAACGATGGCGGTAAAGAAAGTAGTTGCGCTGGCGTTAGCAATCATCCAATCACCATAAAGAGCTGCATGGAGTGGGCGGGCCGCAAGTCTCTTGAATTTGAGTGGAAACAAGCACAGGTGTGTTTGCTAATGTCCGTCAGAGCTTAGGGGTTTCTCCCCTCTCTTTCATTTAAATACGTTCGTTTGATGCCAGGAAATTACTAAAGGAGCTGGAGTTGCAAATCGGTCCTTAACTGATCCAGTGCGATTAAGGAGGCTGGCTAAGAATCTCTACACTGGCCTGTTTTGTCCTGAGAAATGAGACTGACTTGATGAGCTCTTGAAGGGGCTGTATCAGTTGAGGGAAGCTCAGTCACCTTTACCTGAGTCCACCGCTGCCTTGGATGAGATGACTGCAGCAGCAGAACTGTAACCTTTCCTCTGAAGTTGATGGATTTATTTTTTAAAAGCTGTACAAGTGTTTCTTGACTCTATTTGAAAACTGAACTTTGCAACTTTACCTTACATAAGGGCTAGGTCAGATGAGTAAATAAGCCCTGAGACACTCAGTTTGGGTATACATGTATTTGCCTTATTTTCTGTGATGACGTGATGAGAATGACAGCAGTGATGAAAACTGGGTTGTTAACTGTACAGGTTGACATTATATTGTTATTCCAGACTTGGCTGTGGCCTGATTTAAAAAGAAAAAAAAAAGTCACAGTATAGTAAGCTATTTGGTTTGTTAATTTTACTTTGAAAATGTATTTTTGTGAATGCATCTCCAGTTCCATCTGTCCTACACTATTTTTTGTCAATTTTGTGTTATATAACATGAGCAGCTGGAGGAAGCAGAGGTCTGGCTAGCTGAAATTAGGAGAAAAGCGTATGTGAGGTCACTTGCATGCAAATTAACATGTGATGTCATCTAACCTTTTTTCTGTAGGCTTTAGCTGCTTTCCATTTAAATCAGTTTTCAACACTGCCTCAGATGTTAATTAGCTCTGGGACATAATTCGACATACTGGGATATAAAGCCAGATGCATGTTTTTTCAGAGAATTAACTTTTTGGACTGTAGCCTGTGACATATTTAGGCTGAACTCTTAGGCAAAAATGTATTATATGTTTTGTAGGAAACAGATTTTGATTGGTGACATTAACTACTAAAGGTAGTCACATCAGCGATGGCTCTGTTCACTTTCAGTTGTTTAATTGACACTACTTTATCATGCAGCATAAAGTTATCAGCACAGGAAAATCACATTTAATGACATTGTTTACACCTGTCTTTTTGCTGCTAAAATATCTTGGTCAGTGGCTCATTATTAATGTTAATGTTTTACTTTTGAGATGATCTCCTCAGGATCTTTCTGCTGACAGGATATTTTCACCACAAGATGGCGCTGTTTAACTAATTTAACACTGCTTTTATTTTCTGCCACTAACAAACTCTCAGCAGTTTCTCAGTCTCAACATTCCACAAGCCTTCAGACCATGCTAACACACTTATGACTGAGTGCCCAAAACACATCTCTGATTTGGCACCTTTTAATTACTGAATTCTTTGGTCTTTCTAAATCTAAAGTTTGTTTTCTATTGATACAAGTTCATTCCTTTACTAATCCTTTAACACTTTTTAACACAGTAGAGTAGGGTTATCTTTTTCAGTTGTTACTATTAGCAGATAAACAATAAATGTAACATGTTTTTAGTTATCAAAGCGTTGTCAAAATAAACCTGTAGCTACAAGCTGTTTGCTGGTGAAATGGGACCCTTTCAGTGTTTCATATCATGCCAAGCTTTATATGATTAGCCTTCAAAAAACAAATGCAGACAGAGGGAGGGCCCCATACAACTAGCTAAACAACTTATTTCACTTCTGCTTCTGTGAGGAAGTGAGAAAGCACATGACCTGTGCCAACTGACTGCTCTGCTTGTTCAAAGTTCAGTCGGCTTTGGTTTAGATTAGTAAGGTGTGCGTAGAGTTGTACAAAAAGCTTTACACAGTAAGCACTACTCCTAGCATATCTCTGCTTGTCTTTTCCTCCGGATATTGGAGCAGACACGGAACACTCTGTCTGGAATTACACAGCACAGATGACGGTGTCCTCCTAGAGCCAGGAAACTCCCAGATGGCTCTCACACAAGTACAAGTAAGTGCCTAACTATGTTTGAAAGGAGTATTGGCAGTAGATGAAGTGTCATTGTTTACTCGGACATACTTGGAAAAAGTCAATTTATGTACGTGTTACTTTTTCATTTCACAAATGTTAAGTGGACAGCACTTACATGGTACTTTTCTACCTTACCTGGACAAAGAGATTTATGGATTCACCCATTCATGCACATGCTCACACTGATAATGGTGACTTTGGATGCTTTTGCACTCTTGCTATCAGTCTTTTTCACATGCACACTGTGCACAGAAAATTGTCACACGAAACGGCAAGCTATTAATAAACTGGAATGTGAACTAAGTCTCCCTTTGCTTAGTGTACCATAATAATGACTGTTGGTTCTGGCATGTCAGGTTAGCTCTTTCTAAAAACATTTTGCTACTAATCACGACTGCATGTCTCAAAACCACAAGTACCAGAATATCACTGTAATGAGGAAATGAAATTGTCTTAAATGGGTCCTCAGTTAAACTGAAACATGCTTGCATGGGAGCAGGATGTCTCATCCACAACTGATGTAACAGAAGTGTAACACTTAGAAACCTCCTATGTGAAGGTATTCAAACTGTAGAGGAATTACTTCACAGTATCCAAAGCTTTAACAACATTAGGCACAGTACTGAGTGGGCCAAAACATCCTAGGGTTTTATGAGTGGCACATCAGTTTGACTCTATGAGCAAAAGGTTTTTTCCCCACTTGTAAGTTACAGGACTGTTAGGTAGGATAATACTAAACTGATAGTACCTAAATAATGCACTGGAGCAAAGGAAAGCATATGATCACATACATCTTTGTGCAGACAGTGTGTTCTGGGTCTAGGGGACAAGGACAGACCAAGAAAATATGATTAAAAGATATTTAGGTTATTATTCAAACTTGGAGTATTTAAGAAAAGATGGAACAGTCATCTTAAGTTCTGAGGAGTCTTTCTCACTTTTGACTCTCTTTTTCCCCTCCAGGACCAGACTGTTAAAGGGCAGAGGATCAATAAGGAAACCGGAGAGTTGAGCGCTTCAGGGGAGTTGTCTGTCTCTGTGGAGTTGAAAACAGAGAACGTGGAGGGGTCTTCTAGGAACCCTCACCTCCCACAAGAGCTCAGAGAGCAACTACAGGAGCTGGAAAGTTGCACATGCTCGAGCCCTGACCGCAGAGTGGACCATGTTTCTTCAGAGCAGAGAGAGGAGCATCTGGTCAAAGCCCTGTCTCTTTACGTACAGGTGCAGACCTGTATTTATTCTTTCAAGCATGTAAAGACAGTTGATATATCAACACACATAATTTTACACATATCCAACAAATGCTAATCCAATATCAATTTGCTTATACCTAGTACATGCTTGAATGGAGTAGGAAGAAGTCAGACTTATCCAGTCCTACCCCATGACAT